CTGTGCAAATGGACAATAAAATAAAGTTGATTAAATCCCCCGGTGACAAAGTTGTTTATTAGCGAAAATGCTGGCAACGTTTTCCTTTTGCGCTTAGAAAGATATAGAATATAGTGGTATGTAGTATGTATATATATATACGTATATGCATATAACTAATGTATATGCATAGCAGACAAGATAGAAGATAATCCCCACCGTCTTTTGGCAAACGTTTGCCAGACAATGCAAACCCAAAAGGATGCCCAGGATGCCCAGAACCCCCAGACAACACGCTTTTCGAGGATATTAAAAAGCGACTTACACTAGTCAACAAAAGCATGAATATCACAAAGGTTTTTGCCCTTGGGATGATGTGCAGTGCAAAATATTCAAGAAAAAAATTAAAATTAAAAAAAATATAAAAATAAAAAAAAAATACAAAAAAAAATTCCACAACTAAAAATTGAAAATAATCGTAGGGGCATAACTGATATTTTTGAATGTCTTAAGATTAATTAATTCATTAAAATTAGAAGAATTTTTAATGTCAATCACGTGTAAACGTTGAATAGTTGGCATCACCGAATTTACCCGTAAAAAATAATCAAAAACAGATCTGGCAGCTCTGCGTCTCTCTTTTGGTATGGAAAAATTCAGCTGGGAATAGTATTTAATTCGAGATCAATTCAATTTCAGCTGGTGTGTTGGACAGTGTAATCAAGAGCAAACAAAATGCTTAGCAGCAATGCTCAAATATCACTCCAGGAACGGAACGGAACGCAACGCTGGGGCCCCTATCTGCTCCATTGAGGAGAGCAGAGGACATCCATTCCCCGGCGAATCAGTTGCCAGCTCGCGTATCCCCGGCTGGGACGCCTGGCAAAGACAACGGATATGAATATACCCTAAAGCTATCAGACAGCGTAAATGAGCGTGTATTGAAGATAAAAATTGCACCAAAAGAACGGACGGGGAGCACCGAAGGACACTCTCGCAGCATAAAGAGTGGCAGACAGAGGGACACACAAACGGGAGGAGGGACGGCGCACAGAAACTGCAGCAAAGCACAAAAGCAAACAAAACGTGGCTAAATAGCAGCGTGGGTATGGGTATGGGTAGCTAAGGGAGAGCAGAGAAGCATGGAGAAGCCACCCATCGACCCATCCAATCCTGCCACTTCAACATTCAACTCTCAAACTCCAGAAATGTCTGCTCTGTCTCTGATACGGCAAAATCTGTTTGGCAAAACAAAAACCAAAAAAAAAAAAAAAAAAACAAGGAGAAAAAATGCGAGGAAAATGGGAAAACAAAACAACAAAATGCTCGAAAACACACAGCAACAGGAAAGTTTTCCAAGCGCAGTGTTTTGCAGCGCTTTGCGTTGGTTTGAGGATTGCATTCGGCTGCAACATGACGCGGGGATAAGGCTGCTGCTCTGCCGCTGCTGATGATGATTCTCATGCTCATGGAAAGGGATGCCAAACGGGCAGACGCCACTGGGAGGTGGTATGGGGCAAGGGGAAATCACAGCTTACATGCGACTATTATGGCGGAACATCGGAGCAACTAAACAGGACATTTGCATGTAGATGCGAACAAACTAATTTGATCCACCATCAAATTTACATAAATTTCTAACAAGAGCAGCAAAAGTATGTAGCCGTTTGCTTATGGGTAATTTCTACAGCAAATCAACGTGTAACAGGCGTATAAAAGGAAGTTCCAGTTTCATTCACACATTCCGGTTGTATCCCTTTGTCTAGGGGAAATTTGTACAGAAAATTAATGTCACATTCACGTAATGATGGAACTTGGAACAGGGCTCATAGTAAACATGAACCTATTGTTACAAATCTGACCGAATTGTGCCACACTTTGCCCGAAACTCGGGCAATTTCAAATTTTATTTTTCAGCAACTAAAATATATGTCACAATTTATATTGCTTGCAGTTACATATATGGTTCGCATTTCCTTACATCATATTCAACATTTTCATAGCGAATTGTTGTCGTTTGTTGGCCAATGGAATATGTGAGGTAACCCCGCTGCTACTATGTACTCGCATGTGTCTGCCACATTTCTTCACCTTCACTTCAGCTGGCTGGAATCAGCCAAGCAAAAACTCCGAGTACGAGTACGAGTACACACACACTCCACATGATACGAATACATTTGAGTACATATATTCTACATACGCGCACATAACGACCCTTTTTCTTTGCGGGGGAGGAAATGTCTGTCCATCCGGTGGGGCAATCAGCGCTTTTAACCGCCTCATCATCTGCCCCCATAATAAACTGCATAACTCTGGGTCCAGCTCCTGTTCTAGCAGCGGTTAAGGGCGGCGACTGTGCCACACACAAAATAAAAAAACAAAAAAAAACATTGTGTCGATTGCATGGGCGTTACCCACGGAGGGGAAAGGCTATTAACTGGTCATACCCCACGGAATGGCAGCAGTGTATTTTTTTCTGCTTTTTTTTTTATGGCCCTTCGCTTGAAGGCACATGGATACGTCGCTCTTCCATTTCCATTTCGATTTTCTCTTCTGTTTTTTTGGTTTTGTTTTATGTTTTTTGTCTACGAGTCCGCCACATAATCGTATCAGCCGAAGATTTGTAATATGAAGCGGAAGAAATGGACGATAGTTTGTTGGCCGCAGACATTTTTTCCACTTGTTCGTTTTTTTTTTTGCAACTTGAGTGATAAATGCAAAGTCATTGTTGCCACACTCGATTGCCATGGGAATTTATTGAGCAAGGTGTTGGCTTGGAGGCTTGAGGACACATATCCCCATCAATCGGAGGTAAACCTTTATTGTGGGGGCGATACATAACTCAGGCTGACCTTCAATCAAAAGCTGCTTAAAATAAATATATTCAAAATTCAACTAGTTACAGGGAATTTAACCAGGGAACAATCATTCAAATTATGTGGCAGGAACGAAATATATGTATGCCTTTGAGAAATTATGTATGGTATGGCCACCAACTAATATAAAAAATATTTAGTAAGGCAACAAAATTGGAGAAAAAAAATAATTTAGGAGACTTAACAAAACATTTTAATTAAAATGAATAATAAAAAGTCAACTAAAAAAATACTAAGTAAGAAATACTTAATAAATTAACTGGAATGGCTTAAATTTAAAAATAATTATAATTAAAAATACCAAATTAAAAATCCAAAAAAAGTGAATATTTAAATACAAATTTTTTCCAAATTAAAAAAAAACGCAATAACAAATTACAAAAAAAAATAATCCTATTGTAAAATATGTGAATAATTTACAAAGAGCTGATTTGGTTTTCTTAACAAAAAACGAGGTTGGATCTATATAAAAAGGATTCCTTATTGGTTTCTTGCTAATAAAATAACATAACTACCAGTCTTTAAAACTCTCATCTAGTCAATGCCAAGTAATCCACGGCTTCGTGTGTGATTCCTACCTCTAAAAACCACATGAAATGAATAGCCCCAAATGAATAGCCTCAATAAGCCCCAAAAACCCTTAACATAACTTACAAATTAGATGCAATTCGGCTGCAACTTTTTCAATTCCGTTGTTTTTGTGACAACAATCCCTAGACGCGGTTCCAAAAAGTTTAAGCACTCGACAAAAAAAAAAAAATGAACGAGCCTGAGAAAAGTTTTACTGATTTAACCAATTTTAAAACACACACGAATGCAGAAAGACATGCCAGACAGACAGACAGACAGACAAAGTGGAGACAGACACAAAAAAACATTCCATTGACCGCAGAACAGGGAAACAACACCCGTAAAAAAATGTGAACGGAAGGGATGGCGAGGCAGCATCTGCAGCTGGTCCAGGGACAGGGACCGGGACGTGGACGTGGACGAGGAACGCCTGCCCGGTTCGCTCGCACGAACCAAGTAAAAACTCATCAAACTATATTTTCAATAAATAATGACAGTCGATGGACCTTCGCCAGCCCCCGCCAACGCCCCCAAAAAGTGTGTGCGAGGGCTGCTCGAAATGGCGGCCATTTTGTTGGGACGCCTCCGACGCCCAAAAGGCCACACAACTTCATTGATTTTACGCCCTTTTTGGGGGAACCACAACCGCGACAAGCATAAAATTGAATCATAAAAAAGTCGAATATTAAAAGAAGAGAACGAGCACGAATATATTTAAAATATATATGCACATATGTGCCACGCCTCTCCTACTGTTGTATCCCTGCAACATTTGCACGAAGCGAAAAAACAAACACAAAATGGTACAGTTCTTTACGGTTTCGGTTTTTGTTGTTGTTGTTGTGTCCGTCAGAGTCAACTGACAAGTCAACAGCGATGCAACCTGCCTGGAAAAAGCGGAAAAGCGGGAAGCAGTAGAGACTTTCGAGTGGCTTTGCGGCCTAAACGAATTCTAGAGCTACGCTACTCGACGTCAGGTTCTCCTACATTTTTTCCTACCACTCGTACTACGCTTTTTTTTTTCTCTGTTTTTTTTTGTCGACTTTTCTCTTTGTCGGCACATATTATAAATTGCACTATGGGGAGCCCGTGCCAAAGTGCCGGCGTGTGAATGGGCAAAACAAAAAAAATAATAATAGCAAACTGCACATATTGGGGTTATGCGTCTCTCTGTCTATAAGGTGGAGTGGCCATAACGTTTAGCGGGAGCTAAGGCCAGCTGCTGATGTGGCTAGGTATTGTTGAAAGATATGGCATATATATTTATGGCATTTTTTCGAGTACAAGTCCCACTAGGATAGAGCTAGCGGTGAAGGAAAAGGGGAGGCAGACATGATCATTTTTATTGCTAAGCTACTCTGTAAGAGAGAGAAAGAGAGTGTGCACGGAAGAGTGTAGGTCTAGAAATGTACCAAAAAATTTAAAACTCAGGCTAAAAGCAGAAATCAAATTTTTGCAGACTAAAAAACTTTGCTTTGGATTAAATTTCGATTTGCTTAATTTATTATTTTATATTTCATATTTATAGGAATATTTTTCTTATATATATAACAAAATTAGTAACCATTCGCTTACCTCTTTTAACTCCAGAAATATCTTTTGCGTAACCTGAAAGTAATCCAAAAAAAAAAACATTTTTTAAAACTTGAGTTAATTTCATAAGTTTATTAATTATGCATGTTGCTCTGGTATTTTTTTTTAATACTTTTAGGTTAAATGTTGAGCTTACAAAAATATTCCAACAAAAAAGAAAATAAAAAAACCGAGAAGAACCCACTTATTCAGTTTGAGTTTTCGCTTTTGTTAGGAGTACACGCAAAAGTATTCAAATTAAAAACCACTTCAGTGGGCGGAGTGTGCAGGTTTTTGGTGGTGGAGTGCACAAGGGCATGGTGGAGGGGATGGGGAAAAACGTTTCCTTCCTGACAGGCCAAAAAGGCAGAAAGAAGAAAACTTGTGAAGGGTTCGGCGGTGCTCAGTGCTTTTCCTCAGACCTTTTTTTCATGACAAGCGGCAAAAGGGAAGGGAAGGGAAGGAAGCAACCAGAGCCCCAATCTCAACTGTCATTCTCAAACATTAAAATGTCGGGGAAAAAGAAGAAATCTCTCTCGCTCTCTCAGGTCAGACTTGCATTTATTTTACCTTTAAAAATGTGAGGTACGTAGGAATTTTTCATAATATTTTATAACATTTTTTCGAGTTGAAGTTTCACTAGAATAGCTGTGCTGCGCTCTCTTTGAGTACATGCCAGACAGGATAGTTTTTACTGCTAAGCTACTCTGTACAAGAGAAAGAGAGTGCCCGTGGCACGGGAGACAGCAAAGTTAAATTGTTTTCTTCATTTTGATTTGATTGCTATTCGATTTTGCAATCTAGTGGATAAGATAGTTCCAATTTATTGAGCGATAACGAATTTTCCGGTTCCCACACAATTTTGCGGTCAGAGTAAGCGAACGGGTGAAGAATCACATTATAAAGAAAGACACTAGATTTCTCATTGAGTGTGGCTGTAAAACTGAATCTAAGAGGAAGAAAAATAATTTCTTTCGTTATTTAACCATTTCTGAAATAACACCATTAAAATAATTTTAATAAATGCTCCTAAAATCGAGACCTAACAAACCCCACAGTGAAAATGCAATGAATGCAAAAGCTGAGGTTTAATTAAAATTCCCATGCACATTTAAGCACATTTTGTTTCCAATGTAATGCGTTTTCATGCACAAATAAATTCATTGCAAACATTTCGATTGACCAATTATCGTTGTTCGCATATTTTGGAATATTCCATTGATTTGGTTGCCTTTTGTTTTGTTGCCGTCCCGTATAATTAACGCTAAACATGCAAATATCCATCCAGACATTCGCCACAAAACTGCATAAAAAACACAATCAAACACGACAATGCCAATCACCAATCAAATTTCAATCATTTTATTATTCGAGGCAGGCAATAAATTACGAAAAACATTTTTTTATGAATGAAAATTCACATTTTACTGCAATGCTACTCTGTCAGAGAGTTTAAGCAAGGGTTTCGATGTAAATATTTAAATTTGATACCCATTATTATGTTATGTTTTTAATGCAATCTAAACACCTTCGATCGGATGTAAATAAATCAGCTATGACTTCAAATTTCCATTTTTTTCGCTCTGTGCCGTCAGTGTCTCTTTCTCCATTAAAAACTCCTTTGATCTTCACACACGCACAGACCCTTAAAGTGCCATAGGCTATAAAATCTTTAGTTGAAAAAAAAGAAAGAGAATATTTATACTCGTAAAAAACTAATTCATTTTTCTAGATTTTAATTCATTAGTTGAATATTTTTTTTGCAGCTTTCAGGCACTTGGAAGCCAGAGACAAAGGCGACTGTCTTTTGTCTCTCCCTTCAGTCGGGTGTCCAAAGCACTTTTTTTGTGTAGCTGTAGGCACTTTAACCCTCCCTCCGTCAGCCCAGGACCAGGACTCAGCCCTGCTGCACACAAACGCTGCAGCAAAATGTCAAAATGCCATGCAAAAAAGTTGCCATGGCATCTGTGGAAAGTATATAAGTATTTATGTACGTATCCTCATGTACATGGAAGCACTGGTATATAAGAATGAGATGGTGTGTCTCTGCCTCTGTGGGTTGCAGAGCACTAAATTACTAGTAAATCCTGCGTGTGCATCCCAGCCACCATTAATTTTAGTCGCTGTCCTTGAGTGAATGTCCCTAAGTAATTGAAACCGAGTCGTTTTTTAAAGGGAACTTTTAAACAGCTCAATAAAAATTAAAAAATTAAAAAAAGAAGGGGGGGGGGGGGTGGGGGGGGGGGGCCCCCACGACCCCGACCCGGGAAGGAAAAAAAAAAATTAGGGTTAAAATTTTTTTTAATTATAAAAAAAAAAAAAAAATTAAAATTTTAAATTTTTTTTTACATATGCTATTTACATCTAGGCGACCATGTAAAACTTTTGAATGAAGCAACTTTGATGAAAAAACTCTTTAGCAGTTATCATTTAAGTATTTTAATTAGCAATTCTATATTTTATCCGTGCAAGTTATGTAGGAGTATATTTAGATTTCTCAGCTATTCAATGGGCACTCCAGAGCATAAGAGATGAGTAAAGGGAGTACGGAAAGTTACTTAGCAAATTATGGAAAGAAAGACAAATTAAATGCAAGAATTCTGTAATTTCTTGATGATTTCTTTGGGTAAAAAAATGAAATATTTTATTAAAATTTAAATATTTAACCTGTCCTTTCTTTTATGCAATTATTAAAAAATAGCAACAATAAAATGCAACAATAAATGCGATCTATTCCATCGACCAACAACGCCTCAAAGAAATCCTTGCCAAAGGCCATTTCGCAATGTGAGGAGTTTTTCCCAGCGACTGTCGCCCTTGCCCGCGATTGTTCATCCGCGATTAGATATCCAGTACGCAGATCTATTGTTAATGTTACCCTGACCGAAGACCCAAGCAATTTGCATGTGTAACGAGGCTGCAGACGATGATTATAATGACGCTCATGATGATGATGATGAACTCCACGCACTTTTTGCAGGAAATGTCAGTCAGATCGTTACACTTTCATTTTATTTTCTATGTGAATGGCGTGGGCGCTCCCTTTTTCACTGTGTGGCACATGCATAAATCACATTTAAATGAACTGAAGCATGCAGACATATAAAGCAAGCCCTAACCCCTTCCACCCCCATCCCCATATCGTGTATGTACTTTATGGCTTTTGTTCTGTAATCGTTTTGACCAAAAAAAAATTAAAAATAAAAATGAATTAATATATTTTCTGATGCCTACAATTTGGTTTCACATTTCCTTCGACTATTTAATTCGATTTTTCGCCTTTTTGTATTATTTTATTTCGTTTTAATCGGAGTTTCCACATAGCCGTTGGACAAATGAAACCCCGCGTACGCATACGCATACGTAACCGAATCCGATTTTCGGCGGATTTACATTTAACATTTATTTGTCTGACTGTCGATTCCGAAATAATATAAAACAATGAGAATATATAATGACTGGAAAGTCTTTGCTGTTGCAGTAGATTAGGGCTCTTGATTAATCGTTGGCGCTATCAATATATTGATTTTTTTGCTATATGCGGTTCTTTCACTTTTTCCGTATTTAAGCTGCATTTTCCAATAATTTTTGCGTCTCAAAGCGTTTCAAATTGGATTCCCAAAAAGTAAAGCATGTAGAAATGATTTTTCTCATAAATAAGTATCGATACGTAGCGATAAGTTCCGAAAAATATCAATGAAATCAGTAGATGTAATCACTGGATGATTTGTACACAATTAAAGATTGTATAGTATGTAAAATATTCATAAAGATGACTCAGTTTCCATAATTTCCATTAATAAGCAACAAAACCCAAATTCTGGCTAAATTTCTAACCGATTAAACCAAATGTTCCAGGCAATTAAACCCAGACGAAATGGAGACGATTGATGGACTAAAATTTCATTCTTATTAAATTTAGCAAAGCCTCCGAACATTTTGACCAACTTGTAAATAATTGTTCCTTTGTTCCTCTCGAATGTCTGTCGTCCGAATAGTTTGTGTGTTGTGTGTTATGAAATGTGAGTCCGCTCTGCGAGTCTCATGTGTCGCTGCACGCTGGCGGGCGACTTAAATGCTTGGGGCACAACGGTCACACATGTTCCTCCCAGGGCCCATCGAAAGCCAGAGAAATTACGAGGTCGAGAACTGGATTTTCTACCCTCTAACAGTAGCAGCAGCCAGCTGGTGGATGGTGACTGGGCAATGCGCTGGATGGGGGGGTTTTTGTGGTCTCAAATATCCCATTTTATATCCAGAGAGAAGGCCAAGAGGGAAGGCAATTAGTGAAAGATATACAGGAAATATGGGAATGAAGGGTTGTTCTATCAAGAATATGATTTGAAATGGCATACCCAAAAATATTTCATTAAGCAATCATGTGAAATCTACAAGGGTCTCTCTCTCTGGCCGTATGTGCTGCAGCCAGAAAGCCTTTGCTACCTCCATAGAACTTCACACATCCAATTTTAATATTCCATTTAATTTTATTTTATTTGACTTCTGTTGGTAAAAATAAATTTGATATTTGTTGGCATAGCAAGAAAAGGTAAATTACAAAAAATAAAAAAAAGTAATTCCAGAAATCGCTTTCAACTTTTATTTGCATTCGCCAATGGTTGCCACGGGTGCAGGGCATGGAATCCTCTTTTTGGATGCATAAATCAACAGATATTTCGTGCATGTTTTTTTAGCAGCAAAATAAATATCAAAGCCATTAAGCGAATTAAAAAGAATCGGCTTTAGTACCAGGTAGTACTCATATTTATGGTGCACAAAAATGTATCTATGGGAACGACATTTTGATGATGGAAAATATAAACCATATAGAATAATTTTGTGGAACTCGTTTTGCGGGTAAAAACATTACCCTGCTGCATATACAAATACCACACAACACACACACAGGACACACAACTCTTTTTTGGCCACAAAAGTTTTTTCCTTTATTGGCAGCATTCTGCACGCGCGCGTATTTCGTGTCTAGAAAAAGGCAGATGCCACAGGGAGCACAGAAAGCAGAGATATGTACATAG